CGTTTCTTTGTAGAGAGAGAGAGAGAGAGAGAGGAACAGGAATTACTTATCATTCTTCCCCCCCCTCTCCTTTCCTCCGTTTCAACGAATGGAGAAGCGAGCGAGAAATTTTGAAAATGGGCGCGAATGCTCGAATTTATCGTTCATTTCCTGTGTTATTATCGATCCACTTCGTAATAGCGTGCACGCGTAAAGTACAAACCGAAAATAAAATAACGGAAACGGCGAAACTCAGGAGGAAAATTTTCTTCTCCTGAGATGGAGGATCTTAACTTTGTTGAGTAAGCAACAATTTCTTCTTATATCCGATTCAAAATTAGCTACTAATCCAGCAGATAACGTTGTTAATCTAGAAATTAATCCCTTGCACTCCTTTTCGAACCGTTCGGTGAATTTCTTAGCTAACTTGAAACGATTTCGCGCATAAATTAATCTGTAAAACTTTTATATTTTTAATATCCTATGTATATCTTTACGTATAAAGAAAATTTGTCGAATATTAAAGTCTATATCGTTGTTTTATATTTGTGATATTTTAATAATAAAACAATTACCAAGATGCATAAAATATCGTTACAAACCTTACAATCTCCGTGCTCTCACACTCACCGTCTATTATTATTTCTCATCTTCTTACACTACATTATCTCTATTTTTATCTATTTCCCTTCTCTCTATCATTTCAATTTCTTAATGAGTAGAAATAATTTCGTTATTCAATAAAATCAAAATCATCTTCGCTCGAACTTTAATTTCATTCCACGCTTGCAAACCTCGAAAACTTTGAAAATAATATTTCTATCGTCAAACCCGGTCTAAACTCGCCGACTAAACTCGAGAGTTGGAGCGCAAAGGATTAATAAAATAATAATTTTCAAATATCCAACATTTAATAAAACCTCTGCGTACTGTCGAAAACTTTCTCGATCCATTTCTCATTCCCGATCGAGGCATTAACACAAATATGAAAAACATTCATAGAGAATAAAAAGAGAAAGAAAACCGCTCCGCTTAACCCGCCCCTTCTCTTCTTTCTGTTTCAGCTCTCCGTCGAAGGAAATCATGACAGGAACGTACCGAAGATCGGTGAGTAGAAACGCACTCGTTTTTCCTCGTTACGTTCTTTTTTTAGTGTACACATTTTTCGAGGGGGGGGAAAGAAAAGTCGGTGATACAGCGCGTTTTCCTTCCCACGTTGCATTGATTTTTCGTATTTTCCCCCCATCGATCCCTGTAAGTAAATTCGCACGGGGTACGCCCACTCGAGCTGGCTCGATCGTCCAAAACGTTTTTCATCGTCCGGTAAGTTGGGAGGCGTGTGCGTCGCATCGCCGTTCCATAAATTTCACGCAGTTGGAAATCTTACCGATGAGAATAGAGATCGCGGAGGAAAAAGTAACAAAATTTGTAAAGTTGTAAAGTTGCTTATATAAAATGTTGGAGCAACATTTATCCGTGATTATTATTGGTCGAACCGATTTTCGATCGTTACAGATTATTGTTATTATTATTTCGAAGGATAAATTATCGAAGAATAACTTGGACTTATTAAATTTTCCCCGCAAAGTAAGATTTGGAGAGATTTAGATACGAAATTACGAAATTAGCATCTTCGATTCGAGAGAAAAAATTATTATCGAGCAGCATCCAAAATTTCTCGATTTTCGCGGGATAACTGCTCGCTTTGCATTCATCGTTATCGTAGAATTCGTGGCGCGATTCCTTCGGTTGAAGGAATTACGTGGATGGAAATTGGGTGGGCGAATAAGAGGCTAAGATATCCTCGCGAATTGCACGTCGACACGGAAGAGCTCGGGGAACGTTTGAAAAGTATTATCGTTTTCTGTACCGATTTTTTCGCCGATTTTCTCCTCGGTTCGATCGACAATCGATTGACTCGAAAGAGTGGCGAGGGCCAAGAAGAATGATTAATGCATAACCAAGCCGTTCGAAACGTTTCCAAGAATTCCTTCTTATCTTCGGATAGTTCAGATCGTTGCCTCTGGTCACCTTCGAATTTTCAACCGATAAATCCTTATATACGTACGTCGTGGCAATTTAATTCTCTCATTATAACGCCGACCCATTCGTTTATTCAGGGCGCAAAGGTAAATCGTGAAACGATGAAACTCCGGACGCGTATCGTCTAGTCCTCCCTCGGTAAAATGATAATAAATATTCCGAAACGGAATATAATCAAACCGTATTTCCAATTCTCTTACGTCGAGCGATACAAATATAATCAACCGTTCTTATAATAACTCGGTTAATTCGTCGAAATTGTATTTAATGTTCGTTCTCTTGTTCGGCACTCTACGTGGATCATCTAAGTTAACCATAACGATTGATCTGACGATTTTCAACTTATGAATCTTAATGTATATAAGTAACGACGATATTTGTCGAATATTACATCAGGAAAAGTGAGAAATGCATGTTTTATTTATCTCCAAATTTCGAAATTTCTTCGATCCGAGCAAATGTAATAAATAAAGGTTGGGAAAACAGGATAAAAGTGGCGTAAAGGATCGACTCGTTGTGGAAAGAACTATTTTTGAATCTCCATTGAAACCCGTGTTTTCGAAGTATCGCGATATAACGAGAATAATTTAAAATGTTTGGAGAATCCTCGGCTATTTACCCGCGCGTCGTGATTCATCTGTTCGTGCCAACAATGTTGCGTTGAAATATCCGAAAACTTTCTGAATTCCAGCCCGTCCCGCCGCCGAAGAAAAGCCAACGAGCTTTTCTCCGCGCCAAGGAACATGAATATTTGAAAGGTTTTTGCGTGCACCCTATGAATTTTCAACGATGAAAAAAAAAACGTTTGAATATCGCGTACTCGATTATTCGGATCGATACTCTCGCGCAACTCCACGTTTCGATCGAACGATCGCTTCGGCCGGTGGCGTGTTACGATAATATTTACGGGACTCTTACGTTCGAAAGAATGCCGCGGAAATATCTCCCTCCTTCTATCGAAATAATCACTATGTATTTTCTATGCGTGCCGATCTATCGTTGAACCACGCTTTGAAAGATCGCGAATCGAACCTTCTCTTCGACTTTGAATCGTATGCTCGACGAACGAGTTGTGGCGATAAGTCGTTCGCGACTGCCACGCCCCACGTTCGCTATCGGCTCGAGGCGTCGATACGATTGATATCCCCGTGTTCGGCGTTAAGGGAAACTGGAATGTACGAGGGACGTACATTAAGGAGGAAGACACGGAAGGTTTATTATTCGTTAGAGGTTTGAGAAGTGGTGTAGATTTTCTGCGAAAATTAATTGGCTACTTTATCGAGGAAACGTATTCTCACGAATGTTTGCACCTCGAAATTTTAGGATTACGAGGTATTGCTCGTTGAGACTTTCGATCGAGAAGTGTTAACGATTTTGCGTGAAAATTATCGAAGAAAATTTTCAATCATCGAGGAAACACATTCTTACGAATGTTCGCGTCTCGAAATTTTCGATCGAGAAGTGTTAATGATTTTGCGTGAAAACTATCGAAGAAAACTTTCAATCATTGAAAAATCGAATATCACCAATTCCATTCTAAATTCGAAGTTCAAATATATAAAAAAAAAAGAAGGTTTCTTGTTGCGTGCAACAGAAGAAAAATAATTGAAATCGTTAAGAACAACGTAGCTCTAGTCATACTTTTCTAGTCACAGTGTCCAAGTGTGAGTTAACTATCAAAACTATATATTTTTTCGCTCCAATTCGACCAGCTCCAATTCCTACCACGTTATCGCAACGCTTGTTCACAGAAATAATAATCATAAGAATAATCAATCTCGTATATACCTTCGCACCCTGTGACCAAACGTTCGATTCAGGAGTTTCAAGGAGTGGAAACTTTCTCGAAGCAGAAGAACGGTATCGAAAAGAGGAGAGAAGGGGGGAACGGAAGAAGGAAGAGGGAAAAAACGAGGAACGATGATGACAAAGTACGGCGAAGAAGATCCAGGGCGAAAGTTTCGTGGATGATTTAATTTGGTCGCGGCAGAACGTCGGAAACTGAAATGCAGCGGGAGGAGGTGGAAGAAAAAAAAGAGGGAAAATCTGGTTGGCTCTCGAGGAATTTCGTTGGCCTGTTAGTTGGCCAATACCGAGAGAGAGCTTCCTCGGAGAGCTTGGAGAGGAAGGGATGGGTTAGTGGGGGCTGTGAACGAAGGGTGTTGAACTTGCCACCCTGTGGAAAGTATCGAAGGACATCGTATCTCTCTTTGTACAGAGAGAGAGAGAGAGTCAACAAGATATCCTGTTTCCAGGAGATGGAGATTTTATAAAAAGAAAAAGAAAAGAAAGCATTGCGTAACGTAACGTTTGTTGTTTATGCATCCTCGAACTTGGCAACCGTGTTTTTCGAAGTCGAGGACGTTTTTTTTTTTTTTTTTGTAGGACACTCTTAATCCTTTCGCGATCGATAACAGGTGAAAAAATAAAAGTTTGAAAATCTGTCGCGTGCGCACTACGTGCTCGCCGATGTTGGAGCAGAGTTGGAGCGATAAATTTATTTTGAGTTTTATGGATATGTGTAATGTTCACTGGTAGAAAAGTCAGGGATAAGAGGGATCCTTTGCTACCTTCAGACGCTTTCCGACATTACAATAATAGAAGAGCTGTAATTTTAGAATCGTAAAAATTATTTTCATTTAAGAAGTTATGTTAGGACAAGGATCATTTAAGAAGCTGAGAAATATTTTCGATACTGTTAATTATTTTCTTTTAATTAACTACTCGAGCACGAAATTACGACACGTTAGAATTCTCTGGATTCCTATGTTAATGCATCGTCATTTCGGATCAGTATATGTGACAAATATCGCATGGTGAAAACAAAATAGGCGTTTCCTTCCAAATTAACCGATCAGACTCCTTCCTTCTTTCCATCGATCAGAGTTAACTGGTTGAAAAAGTAAAAAAGTACTTAGAAATCTCGAATAAAATTACTTTAAATAATTAGTTATTAAAACGCTTATAATAACATTTATTCGTAGCTATTATAATCGATACAATTTTCATATAACATCGATTGTATCATTTTCCAATTATTATTATTATTATTACGTTATTTTGAACGATAAATTATCGAAGTATATAACTTGTGGAAATAACTTCAATTATTAAAATTTTCCCCATCACCGCCACCGGTAAACTACACTTCAAACTTTGTTATCGCGCCAAAAAGAAGAGGAAAAGGGTGAACGCGATATCCGAAGAAGTAACAAACTGCATTGACAAAAAATGAAAGAATGGGATAGAGAAACCCAGGTGACCTGGATTCCAGAACGATTCAACAATCCAGTTGTTGCAGCTTATTACCAGGATTTATAATGAGGAACAGGAAATGCAAAACGTTTATTTTATTTTCAGTCTCGGATTGGCCAATTTAGCTACGCAGACTCGTCGTCGACAATGACAAAAAAGGGGAAGAAAAAGTATAAAATCCGTAAAACTCGTCGATTCACGCGCGATCAATTAGAAGAATCGCGGGGGAGAATTTCGGCCAATTCGGCATCGTGATTGCTGCATTTCGAATTCCAGGCCCGTAGTTGGAACAATCGGGTAAACTCTCGCGACGCGTGAAGTCTTAAATCGAAATTGCAGGGACAAGTCGGACAAGCGGAATCGATCGATCGTTCGATCCCGCGAAATTCGAAGCGGTTGTCTTTCAATCAGGAACGAACACGAATCGAGGGGCTAAGAATGAAATAACTCGCGTTCGTTCCATATTGCTTCGAGGAGTTTCGCGATTATCCAACAATCTGGAAAATGGTTAATAAAAATAATCTTTCGTTCTCGAGTTTTCATACGAGATTCGCCATACGGTCAGTCGGTGATTGATTCGATGGTAAATCACACGACTCGTGATACACACGTGTGCAACACCGTCAGGGAAACGGAATGGTAGGTTAGCGTGCAGCCTAATTGCCGCTAACGAACGCTATCGATTTGGTTAAACCGCCGTCCAACGCGGGTCAACAAACCGCAACAACTTCAAAACTCTCGTTCCTTCGAATCCTCTTTTCCTTTTCCTTTTTTCGTCATTCGTCGCATCATCGAACTCTGTTAAGAGC